TGTTTGATCACAATTGGCAGTAATGTCGCAATCTTAGAGGCCAATTTGCCGTTGTCGGTAAGAGTACAAACAATGCCGCTCGCGTCAACGTGTCTCGCCACGTGTTATGCTCTGAAAGAATCGTTCTATTTGACGTCGATGTTTTGGTAAAAAACAAATCGACAGCGTAGTCTGTACTCTTATGCAAAGCCACTGTCGATTTGTTAATTTTTCAACTCAAGAAGAAATCATCTATATTCTCCCAAGGAAAGAATGCCGAACTGCCCTCAGAAATATAATGGTCTATCTCTAATGATGTTAGTGCAGATTTCTCATCTGTAAGTGCAAGTGCAGTATTAGGAAAATCAAGATTACACCAATCGTCAATGTTATTATTATTATTGTTATCATCATTATCATTAAGATCATCATCATCTATTTATTGAGACATGAATTATTAGTTTTGAAATGTTAAAAATATTCAAGTGGGAACAGGTTAAATCATTCTGTGCTTGGAGGTGATAATTTTAGAATGAAATTTACATGCACTAACATATCACTCACTACCAGAAATAGCGCAACTTTCAATTGAGTATCGAAAGTACTCTGAGACTGCATTTGTTTTGCTTCACTTCGCTCTGTGATTGGTCAAGAAAACTCGTGCTACTACAAGATATACCAAGAGCCATACCGCTATGCAGAGCCAGTTCCCACAATCTGCCGAAAGTACATCGAGTTGAGATACAAACTGATCCAGTATAACTACGATGCCATGTATGAGAATACGCAGACAGGTAAACCCATCTGCAGACCTCTGTTCATGGATGAGTACAAACCGGGAGAATTCTATAACGATGCGCGCGCAGATGACCAGCACAGCAGGGGGGAAAACGCTTACACGGCCAACCGCTTCGATGATCAATTCTTTTTGGGTAAAGACATATTGGTGGCACCCATTGTCAATCCAGGTTCGTTTGTATTTGTAGCAGCCATTTAGATATCCTCCATTGTAGAATTCATCTGCTACTCCTGAAACCTCACCCAGAAACCCTGTAGACCATGGAGGACCTGGGAAAATTAGTGATGCGTACCAATGTGATTTTGCTGTTGTTGGAACCTTGTTGATGATATGCAGAATTAGTAGCAATTAGTACCTTCTCAAAGGCTTTGCTTTATTCCAGTGCTCTCTGAATACCTGTAAGGTCATTGCAATGGCACTGCGCGTTTGTGACGTCACAAAATTTTGACCCCCCAGAGCGATTAGGACAAACAATCAAGCTTCTCGAGTAAAGGAATATGGGCGGTGATGCGCCCATCTGTAGTTCAAACGTCTCTAAAGCTCGTATATTAAATCAAAACGACGGTGTTACTGGGCTCAAAGTTCGAGCAAGACCCAGAGAACAATACAAACACACAATCGAAGCGTTGGTTAAAGTGTAGAGGCTTGAAATTAAGCGGAAAACGAGCAGACCTCATCGCACGTGTTCGTGACTGCCTCAAGTCGGGAAAACATTATGTACTTGATTCAAGTGAAATGGGAAAATGGCTTCAGGCGAAGAAACTTAAAGATCTAACAGTTCAATGTAAAAAGGGGGTTGACAGGCCACCTACACGACTCCCCAGCGCGTGTTTAGAATAGCCTATCAGTTTCATTCGGTCTGTACCAACGACCGAGGTCAAGATTTTCCCATACAGACTGAACTAGCTCGGTTAATAAGATGTTTATTATATGGCTGTGTCTAGAAAGCATCGGCACATTATATTCTTTGTAACCTTTTTTTTCTAGACCGGTCTAGATGCCGGTCTAGATGAGAAAATCTAGACCGCTTTCAATATTGATTTCAGCCAATCAAATTCGTGAATTCGGTAGTTCCCAGTCCTTGTGAGACACAGCCATATAATAATACATAATATTTTAGATAGGACAACAAATATTCTTTGAACTATATTTATAATGCTAAAGGACTGCTGGTAGGACACTGATTTACCGCGTCCTAAATAAATTTCAGTTTATGATACTTGTTATCTTTAATAAGACTAATTTGCATTCTACCAACAATAACCACGCCCAATAACTGAATGGGAGGGGGGGGGGGAAGAAATCCACTATTTTAAAGTACCTCTAACATTTCTGGGTCGGTGTGTACGTTATGAATCCCACAGTTGGTTTTAGCAGGGCAGAACCACACATTCACTTTAACGTTGAACTTCTTTAAAATACTACCAGTCGAGCTTGTCTCTACAGTCCCGGTCACCGCATATGGATCAAATTTAACAGACCCGACATCAAACTGTGGGGACTTGTACAACGGGACATCCTCAGGGAAAGTTGGGACTTGCGCTGTCAGCTGACACCAGCCGTCTTCCAGAACGCAGCCACCGATGTTGATGTCGTCCGGGACTTTGATGAGCACGAGAGACTCGGCACTAATAACCTTCACACCTATGCAAACGATTGAAATCGTAAATAGCTTCACATGTTCTCATTTGTCGATGTGTGTGCACACCAGTAGGCTATGATGTGTGTGCAAACACATTATTTTCTTGAGAAATATTTCAAAAAGTAATGGAAACTTCGCACCCTCTCATAGGTCGGAAAGTGTGTTTACACTACATTAGTTCTTAGAGACGGCTGTTTCGTAACTTACGACTGTTGCCTATAAATAGATAAACCGTCGCGTTAACTTGCAGGCAATTCTTCCCTCAATTCTGCTAATTCAATACATAGGGGTTATTTACCAAGCGTGAGTTCAAGATGGCTGGATATTGGCCGAGTCTATTTTTTGCTTTTGAAAGAGGCTAATGTCCAGCCATCTTGAACGAACAAGCTTGGTTAATCAACGATTTAACATAAAATAAAAAGATTTCGCTTTAATAAGAATCAAGAATGACTTGTTTATTTTGAAAGCCTGGAAAGAAAGCCAACCGTGTTTATAGCACGGTAAACCCTCGAGGGTGCTTATGTTTTTTTTTTGTTTTGACTGTCTTCTGTCACTTTTTGCGACTTCATCGCCGACATTGTACATTGCACGAACTTGATAAATCCACCCTAAGCACTTTTTTTCTTGTGCTGGATGAAAAGCAGGCAATCCCGAACGGGAAAGATGGGCCTTCAGGTGAACGTTCGTTTCTACGTGCATTCCAAAGATTGCGTGATAATTACTTTCACTGGACCAATTTCTTGCGTTCTGACGATGTTTCTTAGCCTCTTGTCACAGTCGAGCAGTTGTAGCTCATTCTCCACGACTTTCCAATTTAATCTGAGATGTCTAGCATTTGTTTTATGCCGAATTATAATATGAACGTATAATCTACTTCGATAGCTGGAAGCACTCAAGTTCATTTTGAACTCGACGATGCAATTTGAACGCGTTTGCAATTCTTAGCTCGTACGCAATCATTTTCTAAGTTCAGACGTTCACCTGAACGTTTTATTCTACAGAGTCCGTTTTGTGGCCATAATTTATAGGAAACCTTTTACCAAAGTATTATGTTTAGGACCCGAACAGAAAAAAAAATTGCAACGCTGACACCACGACAAGCAGAAAAAAGGGCGGTTCCCTATATTTAGATACAATTTTGAAAATTTTTTTATCTAAACATATTTTCATTGTTTTCCTCGCACGCACCAAGGCTCAACGAGGGGGGGTTACAAAATTACAAGTTTTCAATCAATTTATTTAGGGTCATACACAAACGTCACACAAAAATTGCAATAATATCAACCAGTCAACTTACTAAGCTGGGAATATATTATTGGTAAAAAAAACCAAACAAATGGCGTCCGAAAAGCGACCGGTGTTAACTATAAAACTTTGTATCTCGCAAAAAAAAGCACAATTGACATCGTGGAAAGATTTCACATGCTTTCCATTTCATGAAGACTAACTATAAAGGTTTCTTTGCAATGTATGGGGTTATATGGAAATCTAGCCGATATCGTAATTCAAAGATTCAACACAATACAATAAAAAATTTTGTCTCCTTGCTTCGCTGCTCGATGATCATGTTTCACCTAAAATATTATTAGCAGAGGTAAGGAGTACATCACGTTGAGTGGCATACACAGCATTAAACAAAATACTTTATGAAAAGGCGAGAAATAGCGGCTGTTCTGCGTGCTATCTCGAATAAATCCAAGAAAACGTATTTAATTACCTTTCAAAATTGCGGATTTTCTTGGCTGCAAAACTTTGCGAGGTTCCGGCCCAGAGATCATTGCATTCGTGTTAGAAATGTTGACCACAATTGTTCTTTTCTTCAACTCATAATCTTTCACATCAGTCAGCCATTTGGACTTGAGGTATTTGGTAAAGTTCAAATCCGTTTTCGATTTGTACACCATATTTCGTAATTAGGTCAGAAGGCTTGATTTTGAAAAATTACGCCCTTTCTTGATAGAGGGCGGCTAGCCGTTATGCGAATCAAGTGGACTGTGAAGTGAAAACAATAATTAGGGGTGAGTGTCATGCAAATTTGCTTAGACAATCATACAGCAACGAATAGAGGACAGTGGTTTCATCTTTTTATTTTTTTATCTTTTTTTATTACAATGGTCGAAAAAGGGAGGCTTTTAACACCAACTGTCCTGGTTTTGTTCCCATGGGAGACTTCAGAAGACGCCGGTCCACTTCAGTTGCCTCTGAAAATTCCGGCTACATTTCTATTTTTCGTTTAACTTTCAACCATTCATCTTGACGCGATTAAAGCAAATAAGGGAAGTTCGAAGTAAATCAGACAATTTCTGATCTCCGAGTCTTTGCGTTGGATTAGTCGTCCAGCACAAACACAACATTGTAGGAGAGGCGGGAGTGCGGAGTGAAAAGGGGAAATCAACCGTCCAATTGTGACTATCAGATAGTGCCTGAAAACACTGTACACAGTTCAAAGTTCAAGTGGACAGTGAGATGGATTTGGAAATAAGCTTTGCGGTATTTTTGGAAATTTCTCTTGAATATAAAATTTGACTGCGGTCAAATAAAAAACAAAGTGAAAAAAAAAAGCATCAAAATATTGACGTAATTCACGAGACTTCAACTGTTCAGGTCCAATGCATGTTAAAAAGAGTGAGGAATCAAATGGAAAGTATACGGAAAGATATTTAATCGAATAATACACAAAATGCCAGGATATTCGAAGGGGCCACAGAGCAATTAGCTTGTTTTTCGAGAGTTTCGAGAGCGAAAAAATATCACTATTCGTCTTTTTCAGCTCTAATTCTTCTGGGATCACAGTTTTGACGAAAAAAAAAAAACACAACTTCCTCTGATAATTGACGTCTGAAAGATTTCATTCTTTCCAACATGTTATCTTCGTGGATCATCATACTCTATCAGACCATTGTTAGTGCTGAACAAAGGATGAAAAGTTCTTAGAAGCCATTTACGTTGCTTCAAGCACGTACACAAAGTAAACCAATCGCATGATAGGAAATGGCTTAGGCAGAATATAGTGCTCGTTCCCTGTAATCTGATAGGCCAATTTTGGGTAAATTGTGATTATCGCAGTTTTACCATGACGCTCCCTTCCCAGTATTCTGCAGATGCAAGTGCACCTTCTCTAAGGTTCAGCTGAACTTGGAGGCGACAAAGGCTTCGTTTTATACAGGTATGTCCCCCGTCTAAAGTCTAGCTTTGTAAGCTAAGGCAATTATTTGGTACACCCTCGGTCAAAAACTCCATCCTCTGACAAGACTCCAGAACATTGGAGGCTGTTCTTGAAAATCTTACATTGAAGCGCTGTGCTATTTCTAGTTGCACGTTTGTATGCAATGTTAGTGAAGAGCATGGAAATATAGGTTCGGATTTATCTGTGACCGAACACGAACAATCGTTTCTTTTTGTGGAGAACTTCAGCTAGGTAGAAATTTGCAATGGAAGCAGAATCTTGTTGTATTGTTGTATTATTGTATACTTCTCTGAAACAGTCTACAGACATCCGATATTAATATTAATTAACCAAAAAAATTACATTTCCTATCATTGATGGCAAATTGATTGAGTCGAAGCGTGAATCATTACCAAATAATTAACTAAAAAAATTGCATTTCCTTTCATTGAGGTATCCGGTCAATTCGTTGAACGTTATGAGTAGCCACTCGTGTGAAAATTACATCAAATGAAAGCTAAGATGTAGTATTATACTGCGAAAAGGGAAAGGGACTCGGAAGTTAGGTGTAGCGTCTAAATAATGGCACGTTACACGAAATGAAATATGTAGATGTCACGAAGATTATGACCAATTAGTGAACAGCGAAACCAGAGTGATATTCGCCGAGTGATATAAGTGATTTCAGCCGATAGGAATGAAATAGTATGAAACTTAAATCATATAAATGCTACGAAGTCGAAGTATATTGCGAAATTTAAAGTGCATACAAATACACTGCGAAGTTTACCCCAAACAGACCTCGGCGTCCTTTCTTTGTTTGGTAAATCCTTTGTTTCAAGCACAGAGAATGACGACGTGAACTTTAACACGCGTTTCGTTCTTCTGAACTCGATTCGCAATCGAATCTAATGAAACATATCATACGAAAGGTTAGATCTTGAAGTTTATTTATCTTTTAGATTTTATGATGCAAAATAAAGAGTGCGTACAAACAGGGCAAAATTCTGCAGAAAGCGGCTTGGCGTCCTCTAGGAGTATCTAAAGGGCAGTGGGATCAAACTTAGAATTGATTGTAAAGTGCTGTTGATCTGTTATTGTAAATAGTGCTCTATAATTAATAAATTATTATTATTATTATTATTATTATCAAATGCCCTAGCTACACCTCCCCCCCTGCCTCCCCTCAAGTGCCTCTGTGCTATATCAACAAGTTTCTGGAGAATTTTAACCCTTTGCTTTATTCTTCACAGTCACAGTCAATTCAAGCTCAACAAGAAAGAGATATTGCTTTAAAAAAATCAAAAAGACTTGAGGAAGAAATGGAAACTATACGAGTCTATTATAGGTAAAGTTACACTACTGGGCCATGAATACAGCATATTGTGTGAACATATTGTACAAGGTGATGTGCAAAGATATATTGATCAAAATTTGATTTCCTCTAAAAGTGAAGGGGGTAGACTTTATACTTGTTGTTTACGGCTGTGTAGCAGCTTGATGCATTCCCCACATAGGAAGAAAGTCCTACATGTTTAGCTTTTATGATGTCTAAGGGCCAAAAGTAATTTTCAGTTTGTGTTCTTTTTTTTTGTTGTAGTTGTTGTTGTTTTTGTTTTTGTTGTTGTTGTAGCTTTGAAAGGAAGATAGTTAGAAACTTTATTAACGTGTCAAAGAACGTTCTAGTTTGGGGGATATCCCATACTGATGTGGGGACACAAATAAAATGGATAAACATTATTTACAAAGAATATTACCTACTTAAGAATAAAATTAAGACATATCATGCATGAAAAAAAAAATAAAATGAATTAAGAATTACATAGAGCACAGCCCCTTCAGCCATCATCTAATAGAAAAATAAAAAATCGTGGTCATGTCATTTAGAGTGTTACGTGCACGAATGACCAACAAATGTCCGCTAACAAAGCATATATGAAAATAGACCCCCGAGTACGATATATGGCACGCAACAAAAATGTAACAACAAGCAGTTACCCATTTTAACTATTATTTAATTAGTTTTACATTGTCTAATTTACTTAGGTTAAAGATTAAGTTAAGCAGTTCATAAAGCAGGCTTACAATCCTTCATGCCGTGTAAGTGTTCGTCGTCTTGATCAACTTCCAATTCCAACATCCGCCGACTGAAGACCACAGCGCTTGGCTTTCTTGATTTATCGCATTCTTTCCTTGTACACAAACTCTTCCGGAGGACTCCATAGTAAACTCTGTATTCTCTATCTTCTTCCTCTCTCGACTATCGTCTTTTTCATCTCTTTCTTCTCTCCGGATATCGCAAGGTCAAAAGGTCATAGCCTCGTCATATCATAGCTTCCAAAAGTTCAGTCAGCAAGCCACGAGGGTAAGCCCTCGGGCAAATCTCTTTTGTACTTCTCACAAGCCAGCTTTTATACATTTACTTTAGTTATCTAGAATGTTCTATTACTATTTATAGCGTATTACAAGTTGTACTATTTTTGGAAACTGCTGAGTCACATGAAAGAAGTTTCTGGAATATTACAGATTATAGATAATTCTAGAAAAGTCTGGGATTGCGTGACAGATTCAGTAAAAATAATTCGATCCTCGTAACATATAATACAGC